TATTATGAACTTTCAAAAATATTGCACAGTAACTAGCATTACAATAGACTCATCTCCTTCAAGAGTAACTTAAATAAGGAACTTCCTGAAAACATAAATGGGAAGTTCAAGTGATATTAAATTGCAAGGGTTTTGATGGTTTTCTTTTTATATTTCTTTTTTGCTAAAAAATTCCTTTATTGTAAGATTGCTAGCTCATGCATCTTTGGAAATGCTGCATTCATGGTTTTGTTTTGTAGCTTGGATCATTTACACTGCACACAATACCAGATCACTGGGAGAATGCAACCAGTGAAATCATTGCAACACTACAGCCTGCTTCCTTATCACAGGTAAGATAGGAAAAATAGCATACATGTAGACAACCAGTGTTGTATCATAGTGTTGTATGAGATTTACAAGGTCAATCACTTGATTAAATGGACAGCCGTTATTGGAGTAATAGCTTATGCATTATTAATATTATAAGGTTTATAAGGTAGGGTAAGCTATAGTACAGAAGGTAGAATAGGGAAATTATATAGTGTAGGGAGGGTAGCTCAGGGAAGTTAGTGTAGGTCATTAATGTAATTTTTAGATCAACTGTATGTACATGAATGGACATTAACAATCACAGCAATAATTTCATGCTTAGTGATTTCAAAATTACAGTGTCATTGTTGTAGTGATTAGCATTAAAAATAGATACAATGTAGCATATTGTTATAGAGCTCATCAAGTCAATGCAGTTTTTTCAAAAAGTATCTGAAAATTTGAATTCTTAGGATGGACCAAGATACAATGCTTTGTTAGAGCTGCTGACAATTTTACCAGAAGAGGTTGGTGATAAACACACTGATTTTACCTATGCACTTCATGTCACAGTACATGATGTTAAATAAAATATTGAAATGTATGTTTTGTCAGTTTATTTCTTCAGATCATATTGCAACAAGGAGACTAGCACTACGTGGAGAATTGCAGAAGATGGTACCTAATGGTAGGATTGATAATGATAATATTATTAATCAATTGAAAGCTGAGACCAAAAGGGAATATTTACATTATCTAGGGTGGGTGTACAGAACCTACTCTCCTCAGTAGTTTTAGTTGTGCATAAAAGTTGCTTGTGAGAGTGTAGAGAGACAGAACGTCTGTTTACCATGTACAAGCCAGAGTAGAAATATATCGTTGAGAATCCTCTACCAACTCCTTTCAATTTGTACAGAGGGTACCTTATCAAGTATGCAAGCAGTATACCATGTCTCTGCACTCTCATATTATAAATTAGTTATATACATTTATGTTACCATATTGTATTTTGGTTGTCTATTTATTTATTTTTGTCTATTTATTTATTTTTGTCTATTTATTTAGTGAAGTTAGCATCACGTTTTTTTTTTCTTTTTGTAGTTTTGCAAATAACACAAAGTGAATTGATTTCATCAACTTCTACTTTACAAGATAAACTTCAGGTAAAAAGAAGGAATTGAAAATTATTTCAATCTCCTTTATTCCTTACCTTCTTTTCCATGAAGTTTTTTGTCTCTTTCCCTGATTCTACAAGAACGTTTGCCTAAAAGAATCATCAGGTTTCTTCTTCCAAGTTGTACAACATGCACACCCATTTCTTGATTCATCCTTTTAAGTCAGAGTGTGATATGCCGTGAGCTCCGTGTAATCCTGATAATATGGTGATGAACAAACTAATACTTACTGACTTGTTGTATGTTATTACAATCATGATTGTTTAAACAATGAATGCAATATGTGATTTCTAGGCACTGAAATGCTTAACAAGTTGGGTTCAGTTTGGTTTGACTATAAGTGAAGTGGACAATGTACTGCCTCTAATATTTGAAGCGACCAATAAGAATGAGTTATTTGATAGCGTTATTGATCTGTTAGTTGAAGTCATCAGTCATCCTACAAGCCACAAGTAAGTAATTAAGGGAGGATGTATAGGGTTAGGGAGGATGTATAGGGTTAGGGAGGATCGATAGGGTTAGACCTAGGATGGATAGGGTTAGACCTAGGATGCATAGGGTTAGACAGGATGCATAGGGTTAGGCAGGATGGATAGGGTTAGGCAGGATGGATGGGGTTAGGCAGGATGGATAGGGGTGGAGGGTTTGTCACAAATCACTTAGACTATTACTCCAGATGATAAATTATTATTTTTTTAGACTAATTTAAGACCCCCAATATAATTGAGAAAACACTAGTGGTCAGTGGCAGATTGAGGGGTAGAAAACGGGGTTAGCTGCATCCTTTTTATTTCAATTAAACATGAAAAAAGTTTAATTTATTATCTGCATTCAAACGAACTTCACTCATATAGAGGCGATTTCATATGACTGAGAAACGGTGATGACAATCACGTCCATATACCGTTATCGTATCATAACCGTATCACGTCAGCATTGGTTTCCCAGTCATATGAAATCGCCTCTATAAAGTGGAAAATATGGACCCTGTTTTGAAGAATCCAAGATCCTCCACACTGTTGGTCACTGAATTACATTGTACATGTATTGCATGATTTGTATGTGTTGTAGTTCAGGTTCAATATAGTTTTGAACCAGTTTAATCTAATTTGTTCCAGTACAAGACTTCTTGTACTGGTCCTTTTTTTTTTTTGCTTTGGCATTCTTAAAAGAACTAAAAGAACTATACCCCATCTCATTCTCTCCCATTTTCTATCTACATGTATCATCTTATTTTCTACTATTTCTTACTTTATCTTACCCTATACCCCACATAAATATTGATATTTTCTATATATTTAATTTCTGAATAACACTTACCTTCATCAGGGTTTGAACCACCGAACTCTAGCTTGATAGTCCACAGTACTACCAATTATACCATCGAGGAGTTTGTTGGTAGTAATGTTTGCAAATTGTTTTTATCTTAATTGTTTTTTCTTAATAAAGAAAATTATCATATAATGCTGGCTCAACCCTATTCCTAACCCTAACCCTAAACGTAACCCTAAACTGATTTGTACTGGATTGAGTTATATTGGACTGGCTCAAAATAAACTGAACCAGTTCAGAAGAAATTGAACTGGTTCAAAATCATATTGAACCTGAACTACAACATATTGCATCTTACCAGAGTCCTCTCTATTAACTATGATCTTACTGAACCATAATCCAAGACAGAATGATTAACATTTTTATTCTCAAGAAATTGAAAAATAATGGAAATCAAGTGACTATTAAATAAAAACATGTTGACTGATCAAAGATGGTTTTTGTGGGAGAGACCTATCTTATAATTATTGTACAATCAWGTAGAATGAATCATCTGCCTTTGTATTAGATATCCTAACTGTGTGTGGAAGTTTGCTTCAAACTTGGTGAGACTTCATGCAATGCTGCAACAAGGATTACAATCCTCTGATATGGTATGGAAAGAATTCTCCAATTGTGTTATAAAATAGTATGTGCTTTGAGTTGGGCRATTGCAAAAGACATGCTAACTTGGGTAGCCTGTCTCCAAAATGTTGTCATACCACTAATAGATGGTCTTGGTCCATTCTCTAAGTACCATATACTGTACAATATTAATGTTTGTCATAATGCAAGGTGTTGTTGTTKTAGGATGTTGTCTGTGGACTGTGTCGTCTAATTATCTCATTTGCTGAGACTCATACAAGGATAATGATTTTCCCTGACACTAATGATAGACAGCTCACTGGAATGCACATTATTCAAGCAATTCTGGTAAGTATAAAGGTGTACTCTCGAATTACGGTCATCTCGCCCCATTGCCATCTCGCCCCCACAACATACAAAGTTTTTCATTAAACCCTGAAATGCACTATATTTGCATGTTTTTATTTATCTTATTTTTATTAAATTATAATATGTTACTTATTATATTTTTGGCACATTATTCCATTTGCTATTAATTAGTTACACATTTGTTTCACTGGTTAAAGAAAGCTATTCTTGACTAGTACACTGCATAGTACACCTTGACATGCCATATGACACATCATAGATTTGATTTGTAATGTAACAATCACCAAGTAGTTTACCACTGGACTGTCACCACTGTTTGGTACAATCACCAAGTAGTTTATACCACTGGTTTGTCACCACTGTTTGGTACAATCACCAAGTAGTTTACCACTGGTCTGTCACCACTGTTTGGTACAATCACCAAGTAGTTTACCACTGGTCTGTCACCACTGTTTGGTACAATCACCAAGTAGTTTACCACTGGTCTGTCACCACTGTTTGGTACAATCACCAAGTAGTTTACCACTGGTCTGTCACCACTGTTTGGTACAATCACCAAGTAGTTTACCACTGGTCTGTCACCACTGTTTGGTACAATCACCAAGTAGTTTACCACTGGTCTGTCACCACTGTTTGGTACAATCACCAAGTAGTTTACCACTGGTCTGTCACCACTGTTTGGTACAATCACCAAGTAGTTTACCACTGGTCTGTCACCACTGTTTGGTACAATCACCAAGTAGTTTACCACTGGTCTGTCACCACTGTTTGGTACAATCACCAAGTAGTTTACCACTGGTCTGTCACCACTGTTTGGTACAATCACCAAGTAGTTTACCACTGGTCTGTCACCACTGTTTGGTACAATCACCAAGTAGTTTACCACTGGTCTGTCACCACTGTTTGGTACAATCACCAAGTAGTTTACCACTGGTCTGTCACCACTGTTTGGTACAATCACCAAGTAGTTTACCACTGGTCTGTCACCACTGTTTGGTACAATCACCAAGTAGTTTACCACTGGTCTGTCACCACTGTTTGNGTTTGGTGTGTTTAGGTTTAATATTCTATATTTTGTACTAAGTTTTTAATATTAAAGCACCTTCACATACTCCCAAACCAATCTGTGTATGTTTTAGTAGAGATGTGCCCTTATCACCTTGAGTTACAAGTCAAGATGATGAGCTACTAGTTTATTCTTAACTGTACTGTATGTGAAGTTAATGGTGTTAGTTACAGTGATGTTGTATCATGTTACAGGAATGTACAAATGCACCTGGCTGGTACCCTGTTGATGAAGTATGCAGTGAAATGACTTTAAATTTCTGGTTTACTTTGCAAGTACGTTAAGTTGTTCAAAGAATGTGTTTGTAGCCTATACATTTTCTTGTCGAAAGCCTCATCAAAATGCTCTCTATGTTTTTCCATTAAAAAAAGTATATTGATTCAGTAATAAAACTTTTAAAAATCTCTTGAAAAATAATTTTAATAAAATAAATACTAAATTAATATTTATTGAATCATCATTTTAAATCTGCTACATACATTCATTATGATTGTTTTTGTGTMCTATCCATCAGTCATTCATCAGTTGTTGATCCATTCATTTATACGTKCTTATTTGCACTCAGTCACAGATTATTTAATGGCCGATTAACAAACATTTTRATATTTTATTTCATCAGGATGATATCTACTCTCAAGAGCCAGCTTTGCAGTTTCAACTAAGGTCCACATATGAACCAGTTTTTATCAATTTGTGTCAGGTTTGTAATCTTGAAAAGAAGCTTCAACAATAGGGCTGTTTGACTCAGTCCTTTGCTAATCATTTCTAATTCAAGTAAATATTAATAAGTAGTTTCTTTGCTACAGAATTAAGAATAATAAGGTTTTGTGTCACGAGCTTTTGACAGAAGTCAAACCTTTTTTTATGATTGCTGGACACTAACACTGGTTGTCAGCAACAAAATTTTTTCATGCTTTCAATATTTTAACTTCAATTTGTGATAATATCATTTGCATCCAGTTATTCAAATGAATGTCCATAC